TGTCGCTCTCTGGATTAACCGCGCCCGACACCTCGCTCAACAACTCCATCATACGACCACGATCGCGACTGAAGCGGATGCGTCTGCGTCCTTGGTTGCCGCAATTCGAGAGGGAGTGGCCATTTTGTTGAAAAACATGGTGCTGCTCGGGAAGACCAGCTTGGATCAGGGGGAAAGGGAGAAGTCGGGGGTAGACGCCAATTTCTACGTGCCTGGGGAAGGAACCGCGTTGTTCGCGATGGCCGAGCGTTTCGTGGACTCGTTTGGATACGCCGGTGACGATTCACCTCTGGAACGTGCCATCCTGTTCGAGAACCTGGTCACCCTCATAACCACCATGGTTCGGTCCCCGGACTATATTTCCAAGAAGGACGACTTTCCCCGGTTCGAGTTGTCGGCGGACGACCGGCGTTGGTACGGATTATTCGATTCCACCAAGGCGTATCAAGTGACTCTTCAGCACGCCCACCACGTCGATTCCCATCGTTTCGGGGACAAACTTGCGCGATATAATCCTGGGCTCTCGGTCGAGGAGCACTACAGGATTCCGACTTCTCCTCCTCCGGACATCCCGACTCGTCCCAACACGCCTGAAACCGAAGTTATTTCCGTGGACTCGTCCGCCTTGGCCATTGGGTTGGAAATTGGGAAGAAAAGGGCAGCCGAAGACGATGGACGCCTAATCGATCTTCGACGGGAGCGTGGTCTCGTTCTCGCTGGAGGATTCGTCCAAGAGGGAGAGGATGCCGTAGCCGATGAGGAGTAATTAGCCCCGCGCAACTTTTGTCCAGGAAGCCGGCTTGGTCACGTGGCCGCGAAATTTCCAAATAAAAGCTCGAAGCCATAGTGGTGCCCTCCTCCAAAATCCCTTTGTCGATGAAAGTTGCTGGCCGCCCAGTTCCGGTCCCGCATATCTTCTTGCACGGGCCGATTCTGCGTCGTTTGTCCCTCCCTGTTTATGAGCTGGACGCCAACCATTGGGCGCCGGTAGAATCATTTCCGGACTTCTTTCAATATTGTCTTCGTCCCTTGGTGTACTTCCTCCATTCCGCCGTTACACAAGGATTCGAGAAGGAAGTGGTGTTGGCCAACTATTCCGCGCCAGAAATATCCGAGATAAGATATTGGTTGACCCGAATTATCCTCCATTGCGTGAGTTTCCCCGTAGTGAACCTTCCCGGAATTTCTTTCCAGACTCTGATTCCTTCCTTGGAAATAGCGTTTATTGGACCTAGCCAAGTCCGCCTACATCATCCAGTATCTGGATGACTGGGCGATACCGTTTCCGGCCGAATTCGATTATCCTGGAGAGAGTGTTGTCACGTTCGAAATCCTTTATAGGATTTGTTATGTCCTTGGCTTCCCAACCTCCAAACACATTATCGCGCCCTTGGACAAGAAAACCCTTCACTGTGCCATCCTTTCCGCACGTGAATCCCAGGAGCGGGGCAACACGGCCCGCGATTTTTATCCCTTCGACGTTTCCGGCGAGTTGACCGACCACTCGTATTACGACGACGAGTACGGCGTTCCAATCCCGGTCGTTTTATACGGGAACCAGTCTTCCCAAGTTGGAAGCTGTCTGGACGGGTCTATCGGGTGGGAATATATCTGCGACGAGGAGGAAGGGTCGGGAGAAGAAGCTGGATAGGGGCTTCGGCTTGTTTGTTCGTATTTCTGATAGGTCCATTCCTGCGCGTCTTGGTCACATGCGCTCGATTTTCTTCAATCTAAAACTTCGCATATTTGCATAATTTGCCTTGGGAGTGATCAATTCTGTTTGGCCATCGTGAGGAATTAATCCGTTTCGATGTTTCGTGAACTCCAGTTTCACTTCGTTCGTTGTCGCGTCAACTTCCTAGAATTCCTATAGTTCGTTCCGACTGCGGGCTACTTCCCGGATATTTGTTCCTGCGAGGTCCTCCTATATGATTCCTGATTGCTGATTCGAATAACCGGCCTCTGATATTTTGGCAATGTTTTCTTCTGTTTCACGGCTCCTGCCAATTTTGTCCGTGATGGTTTTTATCGCATCCGAGTTTCCATTCGGCTAGATCGACCCAATGCGGTCAGATCTCCGTTCCCGGAAATTGTTTTCTGGGAGATGATCTTCGGTTCCAGGCGGCGCGTAGTAGTCACGTGATTCCCCGATCAGATCTCGGACAGGGGCCTTCTTATAGCACCTAGATCAATAAAAACGCGATATTTTCCGCGCTTTTCCCTCCCTTCCCTTGAACGACGCGTCTAAACGCGCCCGCCGCCTCGTGGCATCCGTGGGACCGTCCCGAACCTTATTTCGCTGCGCATCAGTCTTCGATCAAAACATACCGATTTAAGGTGCGTCCATTGAATTCGTCCCTGGCCTCATTTCTGACTCCATTCTTCTTTCTTCCCAACCGCCACGTCCTCACTCTGGCTCCCACATTCCTCCTTCTTGCCTTGTGTACTTCTTGGCTCTGGCCACCTTCGCGCTGGGGCTCTATCTCGGTCGTTTGTTGTATGGCCCCTGGACACGGTAAACCTCTTCGTAGGAGCAGCCGTGAACGTCGTCCCACCTCCTTCGCCTCCCTCCGCTACTCTCAGGAAAAGCGGTCGGTCGAGTAAGATTGTGGTGAACAGAAAGTCTTCGTAAGTCGCCGCCGTGTCCTCCCCTTCCACCGATGTTGACCGATCCCCGTAGGTTAGCAAACAACGCATCTTCTGTGGAATCTGCCACCGAATCTGGCTCGGATTCGCAGGAGTCGTCCTCCTCAGAACAGTCCTTCTCCAATCGTCGTGCAGCATCCGCCTCCTCCGACGACGTACCCCTTTCGTGTTCCGTTCCAGATCGAATGGGAAAGACTCGCCGCAAGGCCGCCGCCGATGACGACGTCGTCATGGAGGTCGCGGACGTCGGCGAGGCCCCTGCCTCCGGGGCACGCGAGACGCGGAAACCGAGAAGCGCAAGAAAAAGCCCAAAGTCAACTTGAAGGCGCCCGAGCCGCCCGCCAAACCGAAATCGTTGTCGCAGGTTGCCGCCGATCGTTCTGAATCCCCTGTCGCGTCCACCTCCCAGTCCGTTGAGATCCCTCCGGATTACCACCGGGTCGACCTCAACACCTACGCTTTCCAGGGGGAATTCGGTTGGGTGGACATTAGATTCCCTATTTCCTACGACGAGTCCACCGTTCTGCCGCGATTCGCGTACATCCGGGAGTACACGGTTGAGTCGGCCTGCGAGTACATGCGCGTCCATCGGCGCGACCATCCAGACTTTCTTCGCCGCCCGGGGTGCTCTGACGCCGATTTCGCGCACCAGGGTTTCCTCTTGATGGAGCCAGGCTCCAGCCTTTTCCCGGAGGGGAAATCCATCGCCGCGGTCCTTCTTCGTTTTAACGGGTTCAAAATTGCGCACCAGAGTATCTTGTATCGTCTTCCTGCGATAAAACCACCTCCTCCATTCCCGGAAGACCCAAGCCACCCTTTCTTTTACGACCCCGACGATCCCGAGCCACCTGAGCCCAGCACAGATACGAAACCCTTCCCTCCTTTCGAGGACAAGGCCTGCTACACGCTTGCTGAACGCAGCGCCAAGAAAGCGGAGTGGCGGAACTTGGTGACTGCCCACAATGCGTCGGAGGCGGAGCGTGTTCGTCTTGCCGTCGACGTGTACGACACCAAGCACGCGGAATGGGCGTCGAGGGCCTCTGTTCGTATCGAGAAGGCACGGGCGCGGGACCAGTACGAGATCGAGGCCATTTCGACGTACAACCGGAAACGGCAGGAAACTTTCGACGAATTCTCCTCCGCGCTGCATACTGCCGGCGCGTACCTCGTTTTCCTTATCACCGACGACCTTCGCCGCTCCCGCCTTGCCGATATCAAGGATACGAGTACCACCGCTGAGTCCGGTCCTTCCTGGCGCCCGAAGCGGGGGCGTGCGCCTCTTGAACTCCACCCAGCCATCGAGTCGTTGTCCGAGACAGATCTTCCCAAGTCGGTTCTGGACGAGGTCCTTGGTCCCAACGGCTTCAAGGAAGATCTTTCCAAGTACGATCTCCAGACGTTGGTGACTATTCTTCGCGTTATGAAGATCCAGGGCGTGATGATTGGCGAGGCGCGCTCCCAGACGTATATCTCGATTGTACACGGGTTCCGAAAACGAGTACGACCCCGACGCCTGGCACAAGGACAATTCGCCGTTCGATCCCAACGCAGGGACTGGCCACCGCGTTCGTGGATGGTCCGTGGATGCGGAGTCTTCTGGTTATATAGAGGGCTTCGTGCAGGACGAGCTTATTCCCGCCGTGATCGCGAGGCGGATGTGTTTTACCCGAGGGATGGTAAGTCTTCGGTTCTCGTACTCCATTTCGTCGGTTAACTTCTGAATTTCCTAATCAGGGTTGTATCGAATGCCTCTTTGGGATGATTCCGTGCATTCGCGTAATGCACGGAGATTCACCCGTCGCCGGTTCTTGCATCCACTTGCCGCGCAAAGAAGAATAAGTGCATCATGACGCCGGGTCCTTATTGTTTTGCGATAACGGGTGAGTTTTGTTTTTAATCCCATTTTTCGTCGCGAAATTCGATTGCTGATTGTGTCTTTTTGTTTCCCAGACCGGATCCTGGCTCTCTTCAACGAGCACTGGGTCCTGTTCGTTATCCTCGAGTCCCTTCGCGACCAGCATCGTCTCACCGGCGGCGGTCTCGCCGAATCGATCCTGAGTCTCATTTCTTGTCTTGTCGCTGTCTCCTCGTGTTGTCCTCGGTAGTTTTTGCTATATACCGTATATCTCGTAGTACTTGTTTGTTTTTCTTGATAAACCCCGAATGTATTGCTGTTTGCTTGTGTAGAAACCGCGTGAACCAGAGTGAGAAGATGAATCCTAAGTCCAATTTTGCCCTTCGAGCACATTTCGACGCGTCGCGTCACGGTCACGTGCGACACCGAAAATCATGGATTTGAGGGAAGTTCAATTCCACGCGTCCGGCGTCCCACCTGATCGTACTGGTAAATCGTCGGCCTTATGGCGTATTGGAAACGCGTCGCCCCGAATTCTCTGGCATTCGGTGATCGTTTATTGGCGAAGATGTTGGTTCGACTCCAACTAAGGCCCTGCCTTGAATAACTTGCCTTTTCGATCCCTGCTTTTTATTGTCGGTCCTATGGCGTATGGTAGCGCATCGTCACTTGGTGGAACGCGTTCAAAGACCTCTCCGACGACTGTGTTGGTTCGAATCCAACTGGGGCCCTTTTCCAGCTCCCTGTTTTTCCTGTTTCCAACGAAGCTCCCGTGGCGCAGGGTGCGCACTCCCTCCAGGTGACCCTTGGAGACGCCTTCGTTTCGGGGGAGGGCCAAGGTTAGCACTCCCAATATCTTCGCCTTCTTGTGATTTTTCTGGGAGTCTAGGGTTCGATTCCCTGCCAGGGCATGATGCTGACGGATACGGATTTTTCGCGGTCACATGTCTCCGTGTTTTTGGTACCCAGGGGTTCAGTCAAGGCGAGAAAAACCTCTTCCTTCCGTGTTCTAGGGGATAACATCTTCTTAGAAATGCCGTTTCTCGTTCCCGGAAAGTTCTTCCAGGCACTCCAAGGTGCCTTTTCCGGAGGTAAGATGCGCAGTTTTTCTTTCCGGAAAGTATGTCCGGAGGGCGAATTCGTGTCTGAAGGAGGTTCGGAGGCGTTTTTCGAACGATTCGGGAGGAAGGAAACGAGTTGAGAGTGGAGGAAGTGAATGAATTGAAATGAGATTTGAGGCGAGAATACAATTTTGCATAATGGATTCTGGAAGTCCGTGTCTTGCTTCATCCTTTTTCTACCCCCTTCTATTCTGGGACTGCTGACTGCCCCTCGTACTGCCTCCTGCCATTATCTCCCATTGCGGCTCCTTTCCCTTCTTGGGCTTTGGCGTTTTCGGCTCTATGAAGCTTGTGACGGAAATCCTAATCCGTGATCGAGGGAAATATGGGATCAATCGAAAGGCTGCGACCGGCATTTTGGAAACTGCACCGTTCATTTCCGCTATCACGTAGGATCCCTCGGATTTTCGCTGGATAACAACCATGGGGCCCGAATATCGGGGCTTGGCCTTTCGCGACCACTCGTTTTCGACGGAGGAATTCCTCAAGAGTACAAGTGCCCCCAACGGAAAGTCGAAATCCTTGATCTTTTTGTTGTCCTTTTCCCACTGCCTGGCGCTCTTTACCCGCGACTCGTAGACCTTGCTCCGCAATTCGGATAATTCTTCCGGACGCTTCATCAACTGGAGAGCTCCTCATTCCTATTAATTCTTCGCTGGAGAGTTTCTCTCCGGAGATTTTGGTCATGTAGGTGGCTTCAAACGATGTCGAATGGGAATAGTGGTTCGACGCCGTGGGCAAGATAATAGGGGAGTATCCGGTGGATTTCTGGATGGAAACTCGTTCCGCCCAGAAGATGTAGAAAATCCGTTCCGTCCACAAGTCCAGATTGCCCTCACAGGCCTTGGAGATTGCTTCCCGTACATCGTAGTGTCGTCTTTCCACAATGCCGTTGGCCCTGGAATTGTATCCGGAAATGCGAATATGGTTGATTCCGTATTTCTTCGAGAGCCATTCCACCGCTTTTATCCAAGCCGCTCCATTGTCCGTCACGATTTCTTCGACTGCGCCCCATCGGCACAAAACTTCCTCAAAGATGAAGCATCCCAGGGAATATGCGTCCTCGTTTTCCAACATCCGCCATTAGGGCCAACTGCTCAACGAGCATTGTCCCTGGCGAGGTATCGGTATCTGTTTGTGTGAGGTAACATCATGGTGTCTCCGTGGAATTTGTGGAAGAGGGGTAAGGGCATCGCGACGATGGGAGGAATATTATTCGGAGCTTCGACCAGATCTGGCATTCGTGGCACGTTTTCAAGAACCATTTAAGGTCTTTGTCCATGACCGGCCACCAGAACCTGTCCATTAGGCGCTTCCGGGTGATATAAAATCCTTTGTGTCCCAAATCGTCATGAACCTGTCGAAGGACTGATGCTCGCTTCTCTGGGGGCAAGACTAATTTGTGTTCGTGATGCTCGTCGCGTCGCCAAAGGCCTTCATCTAAGATGAAGTATTTGCTGGCCTTTCTGACGAATCGTTCGAATTTATCGTTGTCGTCGGACATTTCTTCCGGCCTTTCGCGTTGTTTTAGGAAGGCCTCAATTTGGATTAGCTGGGCATCCGCAGCAATGGCTTTTTCGTCCCTTGGGATTTCGAATTCGATGTCGTTGATGAGCTTCATATATACTCGCACTGGTGGCTGTGTTTGGAGTGCTGGAGAAGGTCGGAAGATTTGTCCAGGTACCTCTCCGATCGCAGGTCTGCCGTTTATGAGGAGTTGGCGAGCGGGGATAACCTCCATGATCGAAGATTTCCTCTTACGTCCCCAATTCATGACTTGAATTGCAAATCCACATGCCCAGTCGATCCATTCGTCGACATCATCTTCCTGTTCCGGATCTTCTTCGGCTGGCTTCCTCCTGGACAATCCGTCCGGTGTATGAGTTATTCCCGGGGTATGTTCTAATTCGAAGTCGAAAAGAAGAATGGCCGCTATCCAGCGGTTGACCGCCGCGTTTGGTTGAATATCGGGATTATTGAGCATTCCTTTAATATATTTCGCGTCGACACGAACGAGGAGGTCCTTCACGCCCACGATGTATAACCGGTAAGCCTTCAATGCTCGGAACAATCCATAGAGTTCCAGCTTGGCTTGTGAATAACGGGCTTCCCGTTCGTTCCATGTCACCGATCCGAACCTGGAAGGATATTCCAGACCGTCGGCGCCAAGTTGCGAAAGAATATAGCCGGCTCCTCGGAATGAAGAGTCTACGGCCATAATCACCCGTCTGCCGCAGGCGTAGTCAATTTGCCGCAGAGCCGGTGAACTGATCAATAGCTGCTTTAGGCGATCCATCGCGATTTGTTCGGCGTCGGCGAAGATGAATGGGGCATCTTTTCGTAATAGTCTGGTAAGTGGCGTGGCGACTTCGGCAAAATTGTCCATGAAGATCCTCATCAGCCCTAGCGTTCCCAGGAATGCTCGGACGTCGGTGAGGTCTTCACAGGGCGGCCAATCACGGATTTTCTGGACTTTCGACTCGTCCGGTGTCCTTCCTTCGATGCTGCAGACATGTCCAACGACTTTTATCCTGGGGACAGCAAAGAATGACTTTTTCGCATTGAAGGTTCCTCCCGCATGCCTTATTCGCTGAAGAATTCGGTTTATATTCAGGAGGTGTTCCCACACAAACCGTCGGATTCCTTTATTTTCCGGGATGGTTTCGAAGTCGCCATTTTCCAACAGGTAGTATGTCGTCGGTCCCTTGACCGGAGTGTCATCCACGAAGGGCTGCGTGATATGGGGAATTTCGTCCTGGAGGATAAAATTTACATCTCCTTGTTGAATTTGGACTGAATTCGTATATCCTTGGGGCAAGCGTGTGAGCCTGAGAGTCCCGAATGGTCCTTGAAACGTCGTGAAGTCCCGGGAAGCTATGTCCAGCATCCTGTGATCGAATCCAACGAATAGATCGAACATTCCGTAGATGGCGCAACCTCCGAAGGACTCGGCATAAACTTCCACGATGGGTGGACAGCCCGCGTCTTTGACGACTACCCTGTTTAATGGTTGGAGATTGTGAACCAGGCGTAAGGCTCCGTTCGATTTCGGCACCACGAACCAGTTGGAGCGGTACGAGGAGCTCGAAGGCTCGTAGACACCGGTTTTGACCTTCCCGCGTATTATTTCCACGACCTCGTCCCGTATCCCTGGTGGTATGGGGATATTCCGTTCCTGCCAAGGCGTATGCGCCAGTACCGGAATTTTGACGGGTTCGAAATAATCTTCCCGGAAGTGTCCTCTTTCCGTTTCGTCCCAAGCGAAAGCCATTTCGTGGTTTCGTATTATTTCGTGGACCAACTTTTCTTCTTCTTCCCACAGGAAACCGTCGGGGTTTACGTTCATCTCCTCCCCCCTTTGCTTCGTATATCTTTCTCCTTCCCGAACGGTCCGGGCCGAGGGTTCAACACCGGCATCCCTTCCAACGGATCAGACGGGAAGTGCCGTACGATGCGAAATTCCTCCGGCAGCGTTGCCGATACTGAGTGGACCCTTTCGGCCATCGGCTTGTACTTTTCTTGGGTTTCTTTTTCTTCTTCCCCTTCTCTTTTTGTTCTTCTCCATCCGCGACTTCGTTTATAAAAACGTGCGCTTTTTCGTCGTAAGTGTACACCTGGGCGAGGCAATATCCCAAATACTGGGGGGATACCTCCCACTGGATGGTTTGATCGTGAATGAAAATTCGTTTGCAGTCTACTGTATTAGTGCCTATTGGCGAGTATAAGAGCATAGGAGCTGTTAGTCGATGGAAGGATAGTTCTGGGATCTTGTTTTCTCTTCCTGGAGTTTCTGTCCAGGAACACTTCTTTCGCTAATCCGCCAAAAATTCGTCGATACCGTGATATTTCTTGGAGAGCTCGGCATCACACTGCCCTCCCTCATGGAAAAACCATGTCGTAGTCCTCGTCTTCGACGTTCACGACGAATGGCAGGGTTTCTGCCAAGGGGTTCGGTGAAGCTGACCGATTTCGGGCGGTTTTATCCGGGTAGCCACGGTCTGAATATTCCCCGTGTTCGGGCAAGTCAGTGTCAGTTCTTGTGAACCATCCGTGTAGTCCTTGGTGTGGCATTCGGTGAATCGGAAAGAACGGTCTGCCGACCAGAATATCGAATGGCGCGCCGTCGACCACATGAACTTGGAGGTGAAGATCGATTCCTCCGAGGGTGAATTTAAGGTTCTCCACTACCCCGGCTGTCACCGATTGGTTCGAGTCGGCAGATTCCATCGTTAAGGTTTTCTCGGGAGAAAGAGATACCCCTAGGGTCTGCCAAACGTTCCGGTTCATTGCCACTATTTCGGATCCTTGGTCGAGCGTGCAGGTGATTTTATGCGAGTCGTTAACCAGCATATCGATCACCCTGAGCGAGTCTATCGGAGACGCCGTCAGAAGGAACGTGTTAAAGGTCCTTCCTTGGGAGTAGGAGAGCGTTAGAGCTTCTTTTTCCTCAAACATTCCAGATTCAACCGTGGGA